AGCCCCACAAGGGCAGTTGGGTTACAAGGCCCATCACCTCCATCACGGCAGATAATAACCAAAACGGAGGGGAGTTGTCGTACAGGGACATTTGGAGACCCAGGCTGAGTAAAACCCAAAGGACCCAAACACGCTGTCAAAAAAGGATAGTTGGTCCCCTCTCTGTATCCACAGATACCATGGATCCAGCGGACCTTTGAAGGCACTGGATGAGGGCAAACAAACCGAAACTGAATCCAGGCAAGACAGAGGTCCTCCTGTTTAGTTGCAAGGCTGAACAGGGCATAGGGTCACTGCTTGGGATGGGCGGCGGGGTCACACTCCCCCTGAAGACGCAGGTTTGCAGCTTGGGAGTCTCCTTTTTTCTGGGGTCTGTTTTGGGGACTTGACACTACATTTCCCAACCTTGCTGGGCCTCAGCTGCACACACTGTGACTTCCATCAGTACGAATGTGTCTGAAAGTTGGGGGGACGTAGGGGTGGGTGCGTTCGGACAAGTAAGCTGGGCCAGAACCGTATAGAGCTTTATAGGTCAAAACCAGCACTTTGAATTGGGCTCGGAGATGGACTGGCGGCCAGTGGAGCTGGCACAACAGGGGGGTGGTATGCTCCCTGTATGTCGTCCCAGTTAGCAATCTGGCTGCCGCCCATTGGACTAGCCCCACGTAGAGCGCATTGCAGTAATCTATTTGGGATGTAACCAGAGCATGGATGACCGTGGCCAGCTCAGACTTCCCAAGGTACGGGCGCAGCTGGTGCACGAGTTTTAACTGTGCAAAAGCTCCCCTGGTCACCACCGAGACCTGGGTTTCCAGACTCAGCGATGAATCCAGGATCACTCCCAAGCTGCGAACCTGCGTCTTCAGGGGGAGTGTGACCCCATCCAACACAGGCTGTAACCCTATGCCCTGTTTGGCCTTGCGACTGACCAGGAGGACCTCTGTCTTTGGATTCAATTTCAATTTGTTCGCCCTCATCCAGTCCGACACAGCGACCGAGCACCGGCTCAAGGTCTGAACAGCCTCCTTAGTAACTGGTGGGAAGGAGTGACAGATTTGGACGTCATCTGAGTACAGATAACACCTTACTCCGAAACTCCGGATGATCTCCCCCAGCGGCCAATCTCGATAAAATAGTGAAGAAGAGTGGAGACATCACACTGGCAATGAAGATCCGCATAGTCAAAGCAATGGTATTCCCCGTAGTCACCTATGGATGTGAGAGCTATACCATAAGGAAGGCTGAGCGAAGGACGATAGATGCTTTTGAACTGTGGTGTTGTTGGAGGAAAGTTCTGAGAGTGCCTTGGACCACCAGAAGATCCAACCAGTCCATACTTCAGGGAATAAAGCCCAACTGGTCATTGGAGGGAAGGAGAGGAGAGGCCTAGATGAAGTCCTTTGGCTGGGGAAAATGGAAGGAAAAAGGAAGAGGGGCCGAGCAAGGGCAAAGTGGGTGGATGGGATCCTTGAAGGGACTGGCTTGACCTTGAAGGAGCTGGGGGTGGTGACAGGGAGCTCTGGCGTGGGCTGGTTCATGAGGTCACAAAGTCTTGGAAATGACTGAACGAATGAACAATAACACTGCAGAAATAGGCCAATATGGCAGTAAATCAGGACATACGGGCATTGGGAACATCAAACCACGTTGCCTCTAGAAGAAGCCAGGCTTTGGAGCTGCAAGGCCATTTGGTGCTGATCACGGTGGGCTACTGGCAGCCTTCCCCCTTGCCTCAGGCAGGCCAGGGTTCGTTTTTTCTTTCGTTATGGCTCCCCCCCCCCCCCCCCCCCCCGGGAAGGGCCTCCTTCCACGGGGATAGATAGGTCTCGACCCCACCGGCCTCCCTCGCTCGCTCCCAGGGAGAGAGGCCCCTTCTCTTCCCCTCTGGGGCCGCCTGCCTGCCTGATGGAGAGACACAGAATCCTAGAATCAAAGAGTTGGAAGAGACCTCCTGGGCCATCATCCAGTCCAACCCCATTCTGCCAAGAAGCAGGAATACTGCATTCAAATCACCCCTGACAGATGGCCATCCAGCCTCTGTTTCAAAGCTTCCAAAGAAGGAGCCTCCACCACACTCCGGGGCAGAGAGTTCCACTGCTGAACGGCTCTCACAGTCAGGAAGTTCTTCCTAATAATGTTCAGGTGGAATCTCCTCTCTTGTAGTTTTGATGGCGGGGAGCCCCCGCCAACGATTGGCCTGCACTGCAGTGGAGAGTTCCGCAGTTCCTGGTGGTCACAATTGGAAGAAACTGATGAAATGTGCCCCAGCAGGCAGCTCAATAATAAGACTGCACTCAGCCTTTCATTGCTTTCCCTTCTCCCTACTTTGTAACAAAGCCCTAATAAAGGTACTTGAGATTTGCAACTTTAAAACTCTCCCGCTTGATACTTTGTGTCCTTTCCTTGCCTGAACCTTCTCTTCGCATGAAGTAAACCTTTTTCCAGGCTCTGGAGAGCCGTGAGCCTGCTGGGGGGCGCCTACTGCCCCCCCCCCCGGTCCCCGGATCTGCGTTCGGCAAAATCGCGGATACCGAAACCGCCATTTTGGACCCCAGTAACCACTGAAACAGTAATATGGCGGATTGACGCCATTCTAATTTTGTATTTTTCTGCTAATAATTCTAAGACTAACTGCCATCTCGCTTTCCTCATTTTGGACTCCTGCGCTCGGGGAATAATCATTTTGTTTAAAGCATTATTATCTGACAGCGAACAGCTGATTGTCAAAACTCTGCCGGCTCGGCGAAAGCAGCCTGTTTTCCTTTGCTGCCGCTCGTTCCTGCTCGGCCCTGCCATCAGGGGCTTGCTGTGGGCACCCATAGGAGCCCCCCCCCGAGAAGCCTTGGAGAAGGGGGGCCGGGCAGGAGGCCCGATCCTCGGAGGGGAGCTCTAGTTTCCCCAAGGGCGAAAAGCGGAGAGATCCTGTTTCCCTTTCTACCCCAGCCTTCTGCCCAAGGAAAAACGGACTTTCTGCTGGCCAGCCAGAGCCACGGGCTGGCCTCTCTGCCTCCATACTTCTCCGGGGGAAATCGGGATTTCTAGTTTCTTCTTTATGGAATAAAAATTGAATGTCTTATTACTGTAAGGGCTCGGGTGCGGGATGGATTGTGGGCTGTGTGTATGATATTATGAAATAACTCTGTATCAGTGATGCTTATTACTTATGATTTTGATGTATGTAACCCTTATGAAATTCCCCTGTACCCTCGCTCCTTTGACCTCTGCCCCACAAGATACTGTGACCAGGAACTGCCTGAGGGAGAATCTCTCTATCTCCCAAGACTCACCCATGATTAATTCACCCTGCATGGAACCATAGCCATAATGGACCCTGCCCCATTCTCTGAGCATGTCTGATGGGATCAGGGGACTTATGGTCACTCGGAATAAAAGACTGTATTTGCATAAGACGTCGTTGATCCCCCCTGAGGTCCGATGTCGAAAAAAGCCATTCATATTTCCCATCAAAACTCATCACGAACAGGAAAACCCTTTGTTCCCCTATATCACACCCCGCCAGTGAGGACAAAAGCCTCGCATTCCAGCTGGCGGATGCCCCTAAGCTCATCATTTCCTCGGCCATTGCCAAGCCTCGTCTCGCCTCCTAGCCGCTGATTGGCCCATCTTCAGAAGCGCTAGAAAGGCACTGATTGGCCTCCCAGAGGCGGCGGAGCCCGCTGATTGGTCAGGAGGTGAGGCGTGCTGCCAAGCCTCCTCCCAGCTGTTCCGCGGCCAGCCAATCAGCACAAAGCCGGCTGGCAGAGGGCGGGCGGGAATTTTGAAACTGTTTTCCTTTGTCTGGATGCTATAAAAATGATTGGAAATTCTGTAACACCATGCTTGCAGCGGAATGATTCCTGCAATGCATCTGATCTCAGCTGAATCACAAATAAACCTCGGTTTCTGGAAACTTCTTCCACCTTGATGGGGCATTATTATTTTTAATATTTTTATCACAATTTGGCTCCGCTGGCCTCACCAAGGTATCCAGGGCCCTTTTGGCGCGGTCCTCGGGTTCTCTCCTCTTGAGGAGAGACCCTACTAAAAGTAGCTTGATATCAGTTTGAAGCCATGTCTCCATTGCGTCCTAGTCTCCAGGGAAGCAGAAAACAAGCTTGCTCCCTCCTCCTCCCTGTGGCTTCCTCTCACATATTTATACATGGCCTATCATATCTCCTCTCAGCCTTCTCTTCTTCAGGCTAAACACGCCCAGCTCCTTAAGCCGCTCCTCATAGGGCTTGTTCTATGCGGGCCAAGAAGCCTCAGGAGAGGAGAAGGCTTCGGGAAGAGCGTGGCCAGGCTGCCCCACGGAACACTCAGGAGAAGTCAGTGTGCCCTGGGAAGGAAGGAAGGAAGGAAGGAAGGAAGGAAGGAAGGAAGGAAGGCGCAATCCTCCTCCCCCTTCTTCCCCCTGACAGGAGGAGGAGGAGGAGGAAGAGGGGCGGGGCCAGGGGCGGCGGCGCCAATCAGGGGCCGGGAGGCCAGCCGGGCCCCGCCCCTCCCTCTGTTGCCGGGCAGACTCCACCTCAGGGCTCCTCCTCCTCCTCCTTCCTGCCCGCCCGCCATCTTGCTTCCTTCGGAGGGGCGGGGCCATGAGCAGCGGCGCCAATCAGGGGCCGGGAGGCCAGCCGGGCCCCGCCCCCTCTTTCCCTCCCTCGCTCTGTTGCCGGGCAGACTCCGCCTCAGGGCTCCTCCTCCCGCCGTCTTGCTTCCTTCCGAGGGGCGGGGCCAGGGGCGGGGCCAGGGGCGGCAGCACCAATCAGGGGCCGGGAGGCCAACCGGGCCCCGCCCCCTCTTTCCCTCCCTCGCTCTGTTGCCGGGCAGACTCCGCCTCAGGGCTCCTCCTCCTCCTCTTCCTTCCTGCCCGGGCGACATCTTGCCAGGGGCGGCTGCGCCAATCAGGGGCCGGGAGGCCAACCGAGCCACGCCCCCTCCCTCCCTCCCTCTGTTGCCGGGCAGACTCCGCCTCAAGGCTGCTCCTCCTCTTCCTTCCTGCCCGCCCGCCCGCCATCTTGCCTCCTTCGTTGCTGCCTTCCTCTGCAGCCGCCAAGGCCTCCCTCCCTTCCTCTTTCTTTCCGACGAAGCTCCCTTGGGGCGCCAGGTGAGGAGGAGGAGGAGGAGGCCTCTGCTTGGGGGGGGGGGGGGGGGAGGAGGGAGGGGGAGGGGAAAAAGGGGGGGGGTTCGCGAGGAAGCCCCTCCCCCCTCCCTCCCATAATGCCCGGCTTGGGTGGCGGGGAGGGGGAGGCCATAAAAATCTCCAGGAAAGAGGCCAAGAATGAGGAGGCAACGGCGCCCCTGGTGGCCAGAGCGCCTGCCTCTAGGCGTGGGGTGGTGTGCCTATGTGGTGGTGTGCCTATGGCGGCAGGGGTCCCCAAGCTTTTTAAACAGAGGGCCAGAGGTCACAGTCCCTCAAACTGTTGGAGGGCTGGATTATAATTTGAAAGAAAAAAAACACAATGAATGAATTCCTCTGCACACGGCACAGATCTTATTTCTAGTGCAAAAAACACAAACAAACAATACAATAATTAAAACGAAGAACTATTTTAAGGAATATAAGCTTATTAGTATTTCAGTGGGAAGTGTGGGCTTGCTTTTTGGCTGATAAGGTAAGATTGTTGTTGCTGTTGTGTGCTTTCAAGTCATTTCAGACTTAGGTTGATATTGAGTGAGGGCCGGGTAAATGACCTTGGAGGGCCTTAGTTTGAGGACCCCTGGTCTATGGCATTGAATATTTGCCGCATATACATACATTGTAATCAGCCCTGAGTCTCCTGCGGGATGAGAAGGGTGAAATATAAATACTGTAAATAAATAATAAAGTTCCTTCCTTCTGTTGTTGTGAACTGGTGACCATTCCTAGGAATAGTCATGGGTGACAGGATGAGAGCTGGGTCTGGGAACTCCAAGTGTCACGCACATTCCCCAACGGCGGCTGTGAATAAGGGAAGGGGAGAGCGGCACACTGATGAGGGTGGGAATATACTTCAATTTGGTGGAAGGATAGAAAGGAGGGGATTAGGGTTAGGATCAAGGGTAGGGTAAGGTTTAGGGTTTAGGGTTTGGGGTAGGCTTAGAACTAGGCGTAGGGGTTAGTATGAGAGCTGGGTCCGGTAGCTCCGAGCATTGCGCACATTTTGCAATGGCGGTTGTGAAGCGCGGCACACAGAGGAGGGTGGGAATATACTTCAATTGGGTGAAAGGATAGAAAGGAGGGGATTAGGGTTAGGATAAAGTTTAGGGTTAGGATGAGGGTTAGAGTTAGGCTTAGGGGTTAGGGTAAGGTTAAGGGTGAGGCTTAAGGTTTTACCATTAAATTAATAATCAGGGTTTTGTATTGTCGAAGGCTTTCATGGCCGGAATCACTGGGTTGTTGTTTATTTTTTCGGGCTATATGGCCATGGTCTAGAGGCATTCTCTCCTGACGTGTCGCCTGCATCTATGGCAAGCATCCTCAGAGGTAGTGAGGTCTGTTGGAACTAGGAAAAGGGGTTTATGTATCTGTGGAATGACCAGGGTGGGACAAAGGACTCTTGTCTGCTGGATAAACTGAATATAGAATCTCAGTTCTTGTGGGTTTTTTCGGGCTATATGGCCATGTTCTAGAGGCATTTCTCCTGACGTTTCGCCTGCATCTATGGCAAGCATCCTCAGAGGTGAGGTCTGCTGGAGCTGGGAAAAAAGGGGTTTATATATCTGTGGAATGACCAGGGTGAGACAAAGGGCTTTTGTAAGTTGGGCTGGGTGTGAATCTTTCAGCTGACCACCTTGATTAGCATACAATGGGCTGACTGTGCCTGGAGCAAACTCTTCTTGAAAGGTGATTAGATGTCCCTGCCTGTTTTTCTCTCTGCTGTTTTGCTGTTGCAATTTTAGAATTTTTTAATACGGGTAGCCAGATTTTGTTCATTTTCATGGTTTCTCCTTTCTGTTGAAATTGTCCACATGCTTGTGGATTTCAATGGCTTCTCTGTGTAGTCTGACATGGTGGTTGTGAGAGTGGTCCAGCATTTCTGTGTTCTCAAATAATATGCTGTGTCCAGGTTGGTTCATCAGGTGCTCTGCAATGGCTGATTTCTCTGGTTGAAGTAGTCTGCAGTGCCTTTCATGTTCCTTGATTCGTGTTTGGGCAAGGCTGCGTTTGGTGGTCCCTATGTAGACTTGTCCACAGCTGCATGGTACACGGTAGACTCCTGCAGAGGTGAGAGGATCCCTCTTGTCCTTTGCTGAACGTAGCATTTGTTGGATTTTCTTGGTGGGTTTGTAGATTGTTTGTATGTTGTGTTTCCTCATCAGCTTCCCTATGCGGTCAGTGGTTCCCTTGATGTATGGCAGGAACACTTTTCCTCTGGGTGGATCTTCATCTCGACTCTCGTGGCTTCTTCTTGGTCTTGCAGCTCTTCTGATGTCTGACGGTTTGGGACCAGCCTACCTGCGTGACCGCATCTCCATCTACGAACCCACACGTTCTCTTCGGTCATCTGGAGAGGCCCTGCTCGTGATCCCACCGCGTCGCAAGCGCGCTTGGTGGGGACGCGGGACAGGGCCTTTTCCGTGGTGGCCCCCCGACTCTGGAACACCCTCCCCAAAGACCTTAGACAGGCCCCTACATTGGCTGCCTTCAGAAAGAACTTGAAGACCTGGCTTTTCCGATGCGCCTTCCCAGATTAGGAAATCTCCACCACCAAGTCCCATAAGCACTTTATCAGAACCAATGATTGCTGCACATCGCACATCGCACTTGCCCTGGAAGCCCTATATACACCTCCTGTCACATCAGCACTTTTAATCTTGTACCCATTGCTCTGGCCCGGCCCAGTTTTATTGTGTTTACTGTATTGTGCCTGTTGTTTATTTTGCTTTATTCTGTTTTTAATTGTTTGATTTGCTTAGATTGTATTGTTGTGTTGTGTGTTGAGGCCTCGGCCTGTGTAAGCCGCATCGAATCCTTCGGGAGATGCTAGCGGGGTACAAATAAAGTTTAATAATAATAATAATAATAATAATAATAATAATAATAATAATAATAATAAAACCACCTCAACTGGGCTCTCCAGGCCAAGGGAGACTCCACCTCAGGCATCAGAAGAAGAGCTGCAAGACAACTAAGAACAAGCCACGAGAGTAAAGATGAAGATCCACCCAGAGGAAAAGTGTTCTTGCCATACATCAAGGGAACCACTGACCGCAGAGGGAAGCTGATGAGGAAACACAACATACAAACCACCTCCAGACCCCCCAAGAAAATCCAACAAATGCTCCGTTCAGCAAAGGACAAGAGGGATCCGCTCACTTCTGCAGGAGTCTACCATTGTATTCCATGCAGCTGTGGACAAGAAGTCTCCAGAGGGAACACCAAACGCAGCAGCAGCATTGCCCGAATCAAGGAACATGGAAGGCACTGTAGACTACTTCAATCAGAGAAGTCAGCTATAGCAGAGCACCTGATGAACCAACCCGGCCACAGCATTTTATTTGAGAACAGAGAAATGCTGGACCACTCCAACAACCACCATGTCAGACTACACAGAGAAGCCATTGAAACCCACAAACATAGAATCATAGAATTCTGTGGACATGTGGACAATTTCAACAGAAAGGAGGAAACCATGAAAATGAACAAAGTCTGGCTACCAGTATAAAAAAATTACAACAGCACAACAACAGAGAGGAAACAAACAAGGATATCTAATCAATGTATTCCCAAAGGCTTTCATGGCTGGAATCACTCAGTTCTTGTGGGTTTTTTCGGGCTATATGGCCCCAGTTCTTGTGGGTTTTTTCGGGCTATATGGCCCGGGCTATATTTACAATTAGATTCATAACTGGGGTGACTTACAGGGAGTGGTCAACCCCCCCCCCTTCCTGTTCAAGGAGCTTCATTGGCTGCCGTTCATCTTCCGGTCCCAATTCAAGGGGCAGGTTCTTACCTATAAAGCCCTAAACGGTTTGGGACCCGCCTACCTTTGTGACTGTATCTCTCTCCATGAACCAGGCCGAGCTCTTTGTCCTTTGGGGGAGGCCCTCCTTTCGCCCTTGCCAGTTTTTCAGGCTTGCCTTGTGGGTAGAAGGGAGAGAACCTTCTCCTCTGTGGCCCCCGACTCTGGAACTCATTGCCCGGATAGATTAGGAAAGCCCCTACTCTAGAAACCTTTAAAAAGACTCTCAAGACCTGGCTCTGCCGCTGCGCTTTTGAAGAGTAGCCACACAACCCAAAGCTATTGCTCCCCTCAACGTTTTTGTCCTAGGAGTAGCCTCCCCCCCTTGTGTGACGGTATTTCTACTACCATGTTTCTCTATGAGTTCTCTCTTGCAAATAACCTGCTCCTTTTATCTCACCCTGAGTTTTTAAATCGTTTTATTGTACACGCGGCCCTCTCACTGTCATTATGTTTGTTTATTGCTATTTTATTCTTTGCGTATATTGCTTATTGTAGTCACATGTTTTGTATTTTACTGTGATATTGTTTGCGTTTCAGTTGTTATTTTACTGTATTTTATTCTATTGTAATTTTTTTTTTGGGCTTGGCCTCATGTCCCCGTTGGGGAAGATGGTGGCAGGGTATCTATAAAGTTTATTATTATTATTATTATTATTATTATTATTAAAGAATTCTTACATTCCTTCTGTAATATCTGTGTCCTGTTCTGCATTGTGGAAACAGCACTCCCGAAGGAGCGAAGCGGAAAGAGCGTAAGGATCAGAGCTTCCGGACCCAGCTTTCATACTATTACCTAGTCGTGTCCCTCAAGGAGTATTTTATTGCTCCCTTTTTGGATAATAGTAGGAAAGCTGAGTGTGGAAGCTCTGAGCCTTACGCTCTTTCCACTTCGCTCCTTTGGGAGCTCTGTTTGCGCAATGCAGAACGGACACACAGATATAGAAGGAATGTAAGGATTCCTTAATGGTAAAACCCTTACCCAAAACCTAACCCTAAGCCTAGCCACTAAACCTAAGCCTAATTCTAATCCTTACCCTACCCCAAACCCTAAACCTTATTTATTTACTTATTTACAGTATTTATTTACCGCTTTTCTCACCCCTAGGGGGACTCAAAGTGCGTAAACCAGTGTTTCTCAACTTGGGGGTCGGGACCCCTG